TAAAGACCACATGTTGATTAGAAGCTTCGAACTTTCAGCCCCACCTCCCGACCTCTAGGGAAGGAAGAGGGGCTGGAGATTGAATCATTCACCAATGGCCAATTATTTAATCAGTCATATCTACGTAATGAAACCTCCATAGACCCCTAACTGATGGGGTTCAGAGAGCTTCTACATGGGGAACACATTGATGTGCTGGGAGGGTGGTACACCCAGGGAGGACATGGGAGCTCCGTGCCCCTACCCCTATACTGTGCCCTCTTCCATTTGGCTCTTCTTGAGTTGTGCCCTTTAATAAACCGGTCATAGTAATTAAAGCCATTTCCTGAGTTCTGTGAGTCAAGACAATTATAAACCTGACGGGGGTCATGGGATCCCCTGAATTTGTACTCGGTCAAGCAGAAATGTGGGAGGCCTTTGCCCCCCCCCCATTTGTGACTGGCATTTGAAGTGGGGCAGTCTTGTGGGACTGAGTCTTTAACCTGTGGGATCTGCACTGACTCCGAATAGTTGTGTCAGAACTGAACTGAATTGTGGGACACCCAGTTGGAGAACTGGTTGTTGATGGGAGAGAAAACCCTTCCATCTCATATGAAAAATGAGCCAGTGGGTGAGATGCTAGACGTGATTATCATCATCTATGTGATCCGCACAGAGCAGGTGCTCAGGGAGTTTCAGAAGACTTTCTTTCCACTCTCCTCTTTCCCTAAGACCTCTCACACCTTGACAGGTATCCTTCACCCCTTTCCCTTCTCTCTGTTCTCACAGAGCTAGGCCGTAGGCAGTGTTTCTCATCCCAGGAGCAGTGAAGGGACCAGCTTGTAAACCTATATGTATCACCCAAGCAATTTCATGTTTAACTTAATTTACTTCCACAACCACACACAGCATGAATAGTCCATGAAGGTCCCAATTTACAAAACCAATGGGTTTTTCAGGGTCCCTGAGTCCTGGTAACTTTCTGTGTCTCTGTATTTTCTTAGTCAGCAAGAACTATTGTGTCTGGGTGTCCAGGAAACACTCTGATTGCCCATCCCTTCTTCATTTGTTGATTCTGGAAACATGTAATGGGCTCCTGCTATGTACCAGGTGCTGTCCTGGCCCTGGGGGCACAGCAGTGAACCAGAGGCAAAATGGACATTATTGCTGACATCTGACTATGACTTGACAGCTAATCTCTAAAAGGCATTTCAAGATGCCCTCAGATTCCTGATCCCAAGCCAAATTTCTGGTCTCAGTTTGCTGCCCCAGAGTTTTCCCCCATCTCAGGAGGGGCCACCTTGGAGTTTTCCCAGCTCCTCTCTCTCTCTCACACACCACGTCCAATCCCTCAGCAAATCCTCTGGACTGCGTTTGCAGAACACATCCAGAAACGGGCTCCTTTGCACGTGGTCAGGCCACTGTCATCTCTCACCTGGATTACTGCAGTCGCCTCCTCACTGGGCTCCCTGCTCTCAACCCAGCAGCCACAATGATCCTGACAGAACACAGACCACTCACACTCCTCCTCTGCTCTGAACCCTCAACGGCTCCCCAGCTCACTCAGATTAAAGCCATAGTCCAGGCCACAAGGCCTGGGAGGCCCTCACCATCCGGGCCCTCCCTCTCTGATTTCACCTCCTCTCATCTCTCCCTCTCTCTGCTCCAGCTGGGCCTCCTCCTTGCTGCTCAAACACACCCACAGAGCCCCAGAGCTCATTCCTTCACCTCCTTGACGTCTTTGTTTAAATATTGCCTTTTCAATGAGGATCCCTGACCACAATCTTTTAAAGAAAAAGGGAAAAAAAACACCAAAAGCATGCCTTATTTCATTATAACATAGTGTACCACATTATTATTGTCGGTTTTGTTCGTTGTTTTGTGTGACACCCCCACTAGCACATCAGGTCAACGAGGACTGGGAGTCTTCCATGTGGCTCCAAGGTCATCCTTGACCCAGTGTAGATGGAGGAAGGAGAAGGCACTCCTGCTTCTTAACCATGCAGGCTCAAAAGTGACACCAGTCATTTCTGCTCACATTTCATAGATGGGAATTAGTCACATGGTCCACCTAGAGGCAAGGGGGTGCTGAGAAATGTAGTCTCTGGCTGGACAGTCTTCACTTGTAACATCTCTACATCTTGAAGGAAGCATGGATCTTTTTTTTTTTTTTTTTAATTTTTTGTTTATTGCAGTAACATTGGTTTATAACATTGTAAAAATTTCAGGTGTACATCATTGTACTTCTATTTATGCATAGATTACATCATGTTCACCACCAAAATACTAATTACAACCCATCACCACACACATGTACCCAATTATCCCTTTCACCCTCCTCCCTCCCCCCTTCCCCTCTGGTAACCACCAATCCAATCTCTGTCCCTATGTGTTTGTTTATTGTTGTTATTATCTACTACTTAATGAAGGAAATCATACGGTATTTGACCTTCTCCCTCTGACTTATTTCACTTTGCATCATGCCCTCAATGTCCATCCATGTTGTCACAAATGGAATACTACTCAGCCATAAGAAACGATGAAATCCAGCCATTTGTGACAACATGGAAGCATGGATCTTTGATGGGCAGTTATCTCTGCCACATTGTGTGACCTTGGGCAAGTTATTTAACTCCTCTGGGGACCAGTCTTCATCTATAATATTGGGCTATTAATAGGACCTACCTCATACTTATGGTCATGATTCAATGATTTGAAACGTATAAAGTGTTTGGACTAGGGCTTGAAACAGAGTCAGGGCTCATCATATTAACGATTTTTATCACTTGTTGACCATCTACTTTGGGTCGTATACAGATCTCAGTCCTCATCACAACTCATGGGGTGCAGATAACCATCACACCTACTTTACAGAAGAGGATGATGAGGTTTAGAGAGGGGACATGAGTGACCCAAGGCTACACAGTCAGGGAGCAGCAGAATCAGCCTGGCAGCAGACAGAGTGTTATACCAAGGACTGTCAGATGTTTTGCTAAACAGCCCCACCCCCTCCCTCTGCAATAGCCACTTGAAATATGGGGACTCCCAGGAAGGTTGCCTTAATCTCCTGATTTGTCCTGCATTGCTGCCCTGCCAGCTTTCCACTCTCATCTCCTATCACTCTCCCTTTTCCCCACCACAGTCCAGCCACCTGCTTTCTCTCTAATCCTCACACCTCAGGGCCTTTGCACCTGCTCTTCCCTCTGCCTGGAATGCTCTCCCCACATGTCTTTCCATAGCTGGCTCTTTCTTTTCATTCTGCACTCAACTGAAATGTTGCCTTCTCAGGGCAGCCCTCCCCAACCCCAGCTCAGTCACTTATTTTCACATCCCTGGTTTTCCCTCTCTGCAGAGTACCCAGCACCATCTAATATTTTTTTGTGCTCATGCATTTGTTAGTGTCTGTCTCTCTCACTAGTCTACCAGCTCAACACAAGCACTAGCCTCATCTTTTTGGTAGCCTCATCTTTTTGGTCTCCATGTATCCCGAAGAGCTAGGAGAGTGCCTGGCACAAAATGCAGCCTGGGTAAATATTTATTGACTAAAACAAGAAATTTGATTGACTACCTATGACTCTATGTATCTCTTTGCCCACCTTCTTTCCCCTCTTTCCCCAGGGACACTGTATGAGGCCACACACAACTCCAGAGGGCACCTTTCCAGACGGCAACAATGTAAACTGTTGGGGAAGGATGGTGTTTCTACAGGGCACAACCCACACAAATGTACTGATGGCTCCGTTCCCATGTTCCCCTCTCCATTCATTCATTTATTCATTCACTCAATAAATATTTATTGAGTATATACAGTATGCCACAGTAGTGGTGTAGACATAATGGGAGATGAGAGAAACATGTCTCCGCCTAGATGTCAAATTTTAAACTTGCCAACACAAATAAAAATAGAATACATAAAGGTGTCAAAAATAGATATACAATGGGGAGGTACACAGTCATTGCTCTTTCTCTTCTATAGTTTTTCATCCTCTCTTTTCTCTCTTTCCTCTCTGCTTATCAGACACCCACATCGAGCCTCTGCAATCACTGACAGATACCCCTCAATCTTTCCTGTCTCTCTCCTACCCAGTGTGCTAGAGCTGATTGGCACAGGCTTGCAAAAGCCAATTGTTAAATATTTAGGAATTTTTTGAGCTGTTTGTCAAGCTGTTGGTAGCTTAAGATCAGATGTGCTAGAAGTATTTACACCACAGAAATGGGCCAACAGTACAAGGCAGGTTTTGTTGATGCTGTTTTTCTTAAAAGCTGGTTTTCTAGCACACCACTGTTCCCATCTGTTTCTGGCAAAGAAACTTTGCTTTGTCAAAGAATATCCTAATTCCCCCATAGATATTCAGTTTCCAGCCGGTCACCCTGACATACCTTAGCTCCCTCCTGGGTGGCAAGAAATGGAGGCTTTAGGGCCCATGTTGTGCTGGGAGGGGAGAGAATAAAAGAGGAAGAAAAGCATGAGGGAATGTTGTGAAAAAGGGAATAAAAAGTAAAGCAATGTAGGAAGGAAAGAGAAAGAAAAGAGAAGTAGGAATCCGTGGGGGCAGAGGTTAGGATAGAGAGAACATGGGACTGGCCAATACCCACTGCACAATGTCCTCACATGCAGTTGGGCCATTTCCCCACCTGGGGCCTGAAGGTGACCAGGTTGCCATGAGAGATGAGGAAACCACCTTCCCAAACTACCCTGAAACAGGGTGGGGGTGGAGACCCACATAGCTGGTTTCAGGAGGAAAGAGCTGGACCAATGGGGCCTGTGGGCCAGCGTGCCTCAGTCTCTAACTTTTGAGGGAGTTGGAGGCCTGGACTCCTGGGTCTGAGGGAGGATGTGTTTGCGGTCTTGGACTCTTGGATCTGAAGGAGGACAGAGGATTCACATTCCTAGGCTTTTTAGCCTTGAAACTCAGAAGGTGGGCCCAGGCCTCCTCTAGCAAGGCCCTCCCCTCCCCACCCCCTTCCTGGGCTGCCTTGAATGGGGCGAGATATAAACGGTCTCCGTGTCCTGGGAGAAAGAGCAGGAACGAGAGAGTTACAGCTGCCCTCACCATGAGCCCTGCCCTCCTGCTGGCCCTCCAGGGCATCACCCTCCTGCTGCCAGGTGAGTGAGGACCCCAACCTGGGTGGGGTTTCCCGGGAGGATGGGCTGAGATGGATTTGCTCTTCTTGTTGCAGGAGTGCAGGCCCTGACCTGTCAGTCGTGGAGAGCTCAGGCTGTGAAGAATGTATCGGAAATGCCGCTCCACTGGACAGTGACTAACAAGCAAACCTGTGAGGACGGCTGGGGTTGCCAAGACACAATGATGCTCATTGAGAATGGTGAGAAGGGCCCTGTATCCCCAAGCCCGACTCCCACCCTCTCCTGTGCAGAGACATCCCTCCCCCTGCCCAGTCCTACCTGCATTCTGTCTGGGAACTCAGAAGACCCCTGCCCTCCTACAGGGAGCTGTCCCTTCCCCAGCAGGGGCACAGTCCTGTATCCTGTCACCGCCTCTCCAGTCTCTCACTCCAGGCCACGATGCAGACCCTCCCTCAAGGACCTGGAGTCCTGACCCCACCTTGGCCTCCCTCTCTCTCTTGGTCTAGGACCCCTAGTGAATTTGGTGCTCAGCAAGGGCTGCACCCTGGAGGCAGATCAGGAGGCCCGCGTCACCCAGCACAGTGCAGGCCCGGGCGTCTCCATCGTCTCCTACACCCACGTGTGTCGCAACAGGGACTTATGCAACGATGTCCCCAACACAGTCCCTCTCTGGGACTGGCTCCCTCCCACAGGTACGTGAGGGAGGAGGGAGAGTAGGAGGAGGGGAAAGGGGTGTGGGGAGGAGGGGAGCAACAGGGCTGAGGGGATTGAGATGAGCACAGAGGGACTGTCCTTAATTTCCCCCACCCTGGGCCTGCACGAGAGGAGCCCAAGGAGGGCATGTCTGGGGGAGACAGGGGAGGTTGATTTCTGGGGTGAGCAAAAGCGGGGGGCAGAGAGAAGCCACCTGATCTGAAGGCAGAGCCCTCTCATCCTCCCTCCCCCTCTCTCTCACCTCCCAGTCCCAGGGTCCCTGCGGTGTCCAGTCTGTTTGTCCACAGAAGGCTGTCTGTCTGCAACAGAGCTGCCCTGCCCTGCTGGGATAATGCATTGCTACAACGGGATCCTCCTTTTCAGGGGAGGTGAGCTGGGACAGCAGGGTGCCTGTGGGGCACTGAATGGGGAGGTCTGAGGACCAAGATCTGGGTCTCTGGGGAGGGAGGGTAGCAGAGGCCTGGGACAGGAGGAAGGTGGGCCTGGCTTCCTAGAGCTGCACCTCTCCCTGAAGCTTGCATTGTCCCAGTGGCAGTGTTTCCTCTCTCGCGCTCTCGTCCTTTCCACAGGGGACATCGCCACCAATCTGAGAGTCCAAGGTTGCACGTCCCAAGCAGGCTGCAACCTGCTTAATGACACTCAAAAAGTCGGGGCCCTGACTGTGAGCGAGAACTGCGATCCTAAAGGTGAGTCCCCCGTGTGGAAGACGAGACTGTGCCCTGCACTTCAGCCTTGGGGCACAGTGCCCCTTGTGAAAGTTGGACATCCAAACACATCCCACCAAAGCCAGCACCCACAAGTCATTCAGGAGTTTATTACTCTCTCAGGGTGTGCAAAGGGAGAGATTCTCCTGGAAAGCACTTCGGTGGGGGTGCCGGTAAGAGGTGTGTAGCCGCAGGGGAGAGAGAGGGCACGTGGTCCAGGGGACAGATACGCAGGGCCAGAGCCAATGGTAGGTGCTTTAATTGATGCCAGGCAAGGCTGACTAGCTCAGGGAGGCCTGTCCAGGCAGGAGGGGAACCAGAGAGCAGAGAGGAAGGTCAGAGGGGCAGAGAGGGCGGATGCTTTGCATTCCACTTTCCCCATTGGGTGTGGAAGTGAGGGCAGGAGCGCCTACTGGTTTTCATGCTGGGAGGGACTCAGTGCTTCCAATTCCATAGCTCCACACCGCTGACCTTGAGTCACCCTGGGTCTCCCACTTCCTCTCGACCACCCCACCCCTCTCTCACCCACCCCCCCCCATGGTCCTGGAGCACCCAGCAGGCCTGCTGGGTGCTCCAGGTGTGACAGGGCAAGCAGCAGCCAAACGGGGACACTGGGAGGGTCCCCACTTCCCCATGGAAGCCACACACTGGGCTGACTGAGAGGGGCCTGGAGTGTCTCAATGAGAAGGGCCACTGCAGGCGGGGAGGGGAGAAGGGACCTCGGAGAGTGAGGGAAGTTCCGTCCCTGTCTGAGCCTCAGTTTCCTCGTCTCTCTACAGCACCCTGACCCCTAAAGCTTCAAGAGAGAGTTGAGTGAGTTCAGTACACATCCCTCTTTGTGCTTGGATCCCTCTGGCTGGACCGGGAGCCTGATGACAGGGCCCGATGTCACTGACACCAAGGGTTCCAGACTTGGCCAGCACAAGGGCTGGCTAGGGTTGGGTGCCCGGGATTTGTTTGCTGAAGTGAGTTCACGCAGGATTCCAAGGTCTCCCTGGGGACCCCAGGGGACTCAGATTCCGCCCCTGCCCTAAGAGCCTCCAGGACTGGGAGGGGGGACATCACAGAGCAGAGGGAACAGGGCTGTGGGGGAGGGGTCTGGGGGCTCAGAGGAGGGAAGATACTGATGTCCTGGGGGGTGGGTGTCAAGGAGGGCACATCAAGGAGGTGACTGTGAGCTGTGTCTTCGGGATGGGCTGCGGTTTATTTGTAGAAGAGGAAAAGGACACGAGCAGGCAGAGGGAACAGCGTGTGCAAAGGCCTGGAGGTGGGTGAGCCTGCTGTTGTCAAGAAGGCTTCCTCAGCTCTGCCTGAGACGGCTAATGAGGAGGATGGGCTACAGCCTACAGCCGGGACTGGGGGTGATTACAGGGTTTCCAGGTAGACGAGGGGGTGTGAGTGATGAAGGGAGAGCCACTCCAAGCAGAAGGAACAGCTGGGGCAAGGCCACGGAGGCAGCAAATGACATGGCGTGTCTCAGGAATGGATATTGGTGGGGACGGGAGAGGTGGGGGGTGCCTGGTGATGTCCCTGCAAAGCCAGACTGAGGGCTTGGTCTTTCTCCTGAGGGCAGGGGAGCCCTGGCCAGAGGTTGAGCAGGGAGAGTCAGAGTCTCAGTCTCTCCTTCTGATTAAGGCTGGTTTAATTGTCTGGCCCTCCTCTTGGGGCCCAGCAACATTGGTAATCCAGAAGGCATTTCAGAAACACATCAGATGCAACACATGCTACACACACGCACACACACACTCACACAACACACACACACCATGCCACATACACACCACACATCCATACCACACACATGTCTCTGTACAGCTCACATGTTCCACACACACCCCAACCCTAAACACCACACACAACCCACAGACCACACACCACACACACCATATATCACACACAAACAACACACAGACACACAGAACCCACACCACACTTTGCCTGCACAGCAAACACATACCACATACTTCACACACACACTGTATCACTGCACATATACACACATCACATATCACATACCATGCACACTCACATACAGACACATGTACAAACATGCCATACACGTATGACACACCCCATTCAACCCCATACCCCCACACACATACTACACCCATACACACTTACGATACTCATATGCTACACAAACCACACACATGCCACATAAAACAAAGCTTTTGTGCCAAAAATGAATATTCCTAACATATATCCATATTCTGTTAGCTTTTGACATTGGAGCCGTATCTGGGAGGATGTGTTGGGCTTCCCTGGCTCAGTTCAGTTCAGCAGCTTAGCAAGTATTTCCTGAGCATCAGGGAGACCAGGCCTCAGAAGCTGGGTACCACAAGAGGTCAGGGAAGAAGTGGAGGAGAGAAGGGCATTCCCAGTGACTTTGCAGGAGACTTTGCAGGAGAACAGCTCTTGCAAAGGCATGGGGGTGGGAGAGGGCTGGGAGCTAGAGCACATACTGCCCAGGATGGGCCACGGCAGGAACCCAGGCTGAGGACGAACCAAAGGGCTGGAGCATGAACAGACTTGACTGCCCCCTAAGTAATTGGGTGATGGTCCCAGTGAGAGTCGTGGGTCGACAAAGTCAGGAGAGCAAGCAGTTAAGATCTTAATGTCCAAGTCAGAGAGATGTGGACTACTGTCTGGGCTCTGCCACTGAACCAGCTTTTGAGGGTCACCACATCTTTGAGCCTCTTTCACCCAAAGCCTATTTCACCAAAAGGAGGTGATGATTGCAGACAGTCAGGAGCAGGGGAGCATATGCAAAGGCCCTGGGGTGGGTGTAGGCCTGCTGCGTGTTCGAGGAGGGGCCTGGAGGCCAATGTAGCTACAGCAGTGTGATCAACAGAGAGCAGAGCAGGACATGTAGACAGAGGGGATGGGGAGGCCAGATCACGTAGAGCCTTTGGGGCCAACTTAAGGCCTTAGAATTTTATTATGAGTGGGATGGGGACCTACTGGAGTCTTCTGAGCAGAGGAGTGACATGAATTGACTTACCTTTATGGGGATCCTCTGGCTGTTGGGTGGAGAATAGAGTGAGGGGGAGGTGGGAGTCGGGGAGGGGACCCCCAGGGAGACTCAGGAGGAAGCAGGTGAGACCCAAGGGCGTCTTGGAAGCAGTAGAGCTGGTGAGACGTGGTCAGGTTCTGGGGGATTTTGCAGCTTAAGCCAACAGGATTTCCTGATGGGTGCAACACGGGGTGTAAGAGAAAGGGGATTGTCAAGAATGACTTGAGCAACTGCTGAAAGGAGCTGCCATTGACCAAGGCAGGGAAGATGGGGGTGGGAGAGCGGGGGCCAGGCTGGGAGGAGGCAGCAGGAGCCACGATTTTGTCGCCTGTGAAGCGGGGACATGAGTGGTTCTCCTTCGTGGAGGCTGTTATAAATGTTACCCGTGTCTGTGGATGCTGCGTGGTCAGCCCAGGAGTTTCTGCCTCAAGGGACACGTCACTGCTGATCATGTGATGGCCTTAAGAGAAGGTCTGGGCTCATGGTTTTCACACTAGACTCTTGAGGGCCACCGGGGCCAAGGTAGCCAAGGACGGTCATCAATCCCTGTCTGCCCCATCACCGACCCCAAGGAGCCAGAACGCCTGAGTTCTGAGCCCAGCTCAGGCAATTACTAGTGGAGGGACATTGAGCAACCTGCTTAATGACTCCTCTGCCTGTGTTTCCCATCTTGAAAATGGGGACGATGATGATAACACCACCTACTTTGGTGTGGGGAAATATTGTGGTCCAGATGTGGTAAGCAACTTGAGAGGCTTCAGTGGGCTATTCCATGGAAAGAAATCACCACAGCCAGGCTCATAGTAAATAATCAGTGCATGCCAGGTATTTGAGTCTTTTTATTTAGAACATGTGGTTTCTCAGTGAAAAGAAATATATGATGTCACGCCACCCTCCTCATTATCCAGATGAGGACCTTGAGGCCCAGAGAGGGAAGCAGAGATTGGCTCAGGCTGAGGAAGAGCCCTCCATCTCTCTCCCTCCCAAAGGGAGGAGCAGCCTTCCTCTGGGGTGTTCAGAGAGGTCCCTGCAGGTATTTGAGCAAAACTACGGTAAAGAAAGGAGGTGGGGCTGACTTCCCAGGTCCCTTCTAAATCTGAGATTGAGGGACTCTGTGGCCAGGTCACCTGGAGTGTGACTCAAGAATGTGATCAACTCCCAAGCCTGGGACCTGGAGGGACAGACACGGCTGGCTCCCTGGCTTACCCAGACCCTGGTAATTCCTTCTCCACAGCTCTTCTGACCTGTCACCGAGGGCTCATGTCCGCGACACTGCCAAACTTGGCTCAGACACCCATCGAATGGACCGAGGGTGGTTACCAGACATGTGATATTGGGGAGATGTGTCAGGAGACGCTTCTGCTCGTAGACGTAGGTGCGTGGGCTGAGCCAGAGGGTAAGGCCCCTGCGCTGGGTCCTGGGCCTCCCCGCCCTGGATTCTGTCCCTGAATTTCCCGCCTGATTACCCTCACACCTGGAGTTCTAAACCCAACTCTTCTTCTTTCTGTGCCTTGGTTTCCTCTTCTGAAAACTGGGGGCAATAACAGTACCTACCTTGCTGGGTGGTCGTGAGGATATACTCGATAGCCCGTGCAAAGGGCTGAGAACAGAACTGGCACAGAGGGACCCAATGGGTTTATTTGAGGTTTATCGAGCATCTGCTGTTTGCCAGGCACCATAGATCCCACTTTTTTCTTTTTTCTTATTCTGGTAACATTGGTTTATAACATTGTATAAATTTCAGGTATACATCATTATTCTTCTAGGTCTGCATAGATTACATCATGTTCACCACCCAAATACTAGTTAAAATCCATCAATTCCATTGTGTCTGCCTTCGTGCAGCTTTCCGTGCAAGGGAGGAAACAGAAAAAACCCAACAATAAGGAGGAAGATGTGGGTGTGGAGATGAGATATGGAGAGAAATCCCTCAGGGAAAGGGGAGAGAGAAAGTGAGGGGAAGGTTGCAACGTGTAAAGCATGCTAAGGGAGGCTCTGTTGAGAAGGTGACGTTGGCACAAGAACTGAGGGTTGGCAGCGCTGGGGGAGGACCCAGCCTCTGGCCCCAGTCTTCGCCTACATTCAAGGTGACCTGTACTCTTCTTTGTACTCAGGGAACCTGCGCTCACCCTCTGCCTGCTGAGCATCAGGGAACCACTGCCTCCTGCCTGCCATGGAGTCTCCCCTCCCTCAGCCCCGCTCTCACTCTCTCACCCCTCAGGACACAGATCACTCATAGTGGGGAGCAGAGGCTGCAGCAAGATCAGGATACAGAATTCCCCGACTGTCACCATTCACTCGGGGCCTCTCGGAATTCTCATCGCCTCCTATGCCCGGTTCTGCTCCTCCAACGGGTGCAACAGAGCCAAGAGCAGCAGCGTCCTATTGGATGCCCTGCCTCGTCAAGGTGTGGGATCCCAGCAGGCTGGATGGGGACAGAGACACGGAGAGATGGGGCCCAGGAGACAAGAGCTTCCAGGGCGCAAGGAGGGTGGCTGCAGCGAAGAGCAGAGCTGTGTACCCCAACCTTCTCTCTGCTCCCCAGCTGCCCCTGTACCAGGAGACCTGCAGTGTCCTGTCTCTGTGAAGTTAGGATCCTTCGCACAAAACTCTGAAAATGTTATCTGCCCTAAGGGCACCACTCGTTGTTACCGGGGTTCCTTTCGACTCAGGGGAGGTGAGTGCTGCAGGTCTCGAGGATGAAGCGGTTAGGGGCCTAGATTCACTGGTCCTGAGGTTGGAGGCTGCTTGAGGCCCTGACTCATGGATGTGAGGGTGGAGGGAGCTGGGGGGTCAAATGTCTAGTCCCAGGGAAGAAGGGGACTGAGAGGCTGATCTCGTGGTCTAGTGAGGGAGGGGGCGCGTCCGGGATGCTGGGTCTTCGGAATTTAAGTGTGCTGTGCTTTGATTCCTCTCTGACTCAGTCTTCACTCTCTAGGTGGGCTGTCTGCCTCAGTGAACCTTCAGGGCTGCATGGCCAAACCTTCCAGGTATTTGTTGAATCATGCCAAGAATATTGGGGTCTTCTCTGTGATTGAGAACTCTGGGTATGAGAATGAGAATCAGCCTCCTCTTCAAGACAAAGCTGCCCCTACCTCCTACGTGGCTTTGGTGGGGGGGCTGGGGTTATCCCTAGCCCTTTGTTGTGGGGTGCTCTCCCTGTTGACCCCATTACCCTTGATTCTTAGACCTTGCTGACCCTAAACCCAACGTTCTGTCTGACTTCATAACCAAACACCAAATTATTTTTCCATCCTCTCCATGAGTTACCATCCACGCACACCCACACACACTTTGTGACCTGATGAGAACGTATGGAAGGGCCTGGAGCAGCTGAACTTGCCCTATGGGAGAGTAGACATTCAAGCAGTGGCCACATGTGTCTGATAATAAAGACATTGTGCTTTTTCCCAGTGCTGGGCTTTTCTATGTGAGGGGAGGGCAGGACACCCAGAAATCTGGCACAAGGGAGGAGAGGAATCTGTGAGAGATGCCCCATCTCAGGCCCATCCTTCACTGGTCTGGAGCACGTCTCCATTCCAGCCTCGGTGGCAGCAGAGCCTTCAGGATGCTGCAGACAGAGGTATCTGGGCATCACCACGACCTGAGAGGTGAAGGTGCACTCCCACCAATGAGGCTTCTAATTAGCAGTCAGGATCCCAGCACACACCAGGGGCTGGCCCCATGTGAATATCTTGACGTATGAGCTTGCGTGAAGTAGAGAAACAAGAGGGTTTACACAGTCTCCTGAGGCTGTTATCATTGGGTCTGTTATCATCCAGGCCTGAAGGGCTGAGAAGAACTTATTACCATTCTAGAATCTGGAGGGGGTGGATGGGAGAGGTCTGGAGAGGGCTGACTGGAGCTCTGATCTCAGGTTGAAAAATCTGTCCACCCCCCAGTGACACTATAGGGAGGGAGCTGGAGAATTAATATCCCAACCTCACTCCATGTCCTCCCTCTGGTCTCCTGTTGGGGCTCCCCAGTGCCTGAACCCAGATGGAAGCCAGGAGATCCCATTAACACAGTTCTCATAATTCTGCCACCCACAGTGCAGAGCATGGGGGAGAAGGGGAGAGAGTGAATCTGGAGAAGGAAACAGAAAGTGTCCAGCAGGGTCCACCCTTTTCCTCCTCAGTATCCACCCTTTTCCTTTGTCCAGATCTAAATCAGAGTCCTCAATACTGAAGGCACACAATTCCCATCTGTTACTTAATCATAGGGACATGGTGTGCTAATGACAATGAGTCAGACTCCCACAGTGTTAGACAGCTAGTTCTTCATACACCACAGTGAGAGGAGGATGGAGGAGAAACTCCCATAAACAAAGCTGCGAGTGTCCTGGGTGTGTAGCTGGTGGTCATCAGAGCCGCCTTCTTCCACCACCCATTCCACAGTCAGTACCACCTGCCAACACCTAGTTAAACGATTACTGTTGACACAAATCTTCATTCTGATGGGAATGAATTGTTCCATGGTCTCGTATTTATTGAATTTCTGCAGTTTCCCACTGAACAGGGCCACTGGACAATGAAATATGAAGATGTGCCCCCAATTACATTGCCTGGCTTCCAAACAGAGTCCTCCTTGACCCAGCTGCCCAACCTCCCTCTGGCAGTCAGCTCCCCTCCGGCCATTAGCACAGCAGTGACCCTCTTCTCTGCCTGTTGTTTCAGCAGCATGAGGAGCACAACATGGCCCGGGGGCAGTCATGGCTTCCAATTGATTAGAACTATGATGGGATTCCTCGCCCACACCAACATAGAGACAAAAGCAAAAATTCTTTAAGTGGGCTATGAGGTGTACTAGAGGGAGGGGGCACTCCCTTATCTTTCCCTTGTTTCATGGACTCCGCATTCTGTCTATTGGTGAAGTGACAGAATAGACTGGCCACTGGCTTAAGACATACAGCATTTCCCGTTGGATGGCCAGGTACCATCTCTCACCTGGTGCCCTCATAAGCCATCATGGGCCATTCCACATCCTGAAAAGCCAACTGTCTCTGTGTAGTGGGGCAGTGGGGAAGATCAGTGAGCTCCACAGGTGTGAAAGTTCATTGTCTGACTTCCTGTTCCTTAAAATGTATCCCCTCATTGGAAGCAATACTTCATAGGATACCATAGCAATAGACAACACATTTTCTAAGTTCTCAAATGGCAGTGTTGACAGAAGCATAGAGTAAAAGGAAGGCAAATCATAGACCACAGTTTGTGTCCATCCCTGTGAGGATAAAGCTCAGACCCCTCCATGATGGACCATGTCCTGTGTAGTCTTATAGTAGAATGACGCAGTAACAAGTTAGCATTGGCCTCTACCTTTGTTGGTTTGGGCACCCAGTACAGTCAACATCCAGGTCAGCCTTGGGGAGAGTGAGCCCATTTGTTGTAACCATGCAGAGCCTCCACCCCTGCTCACGTGGCCACTTTGCACATGGCCCAGTGAGCAAGAACTGATGGGGAAAGAAGCTGCCTGACAACAGTGTCATACATACCAAGTGTCATACATACATACCCCTACATACCAAGAGCCTCCTCCTCGATGCACGGATCTCATGGACATTAGTGTAGGACGTGAACAACTTCACACTCTGTGCTCATCACCAGAGGACCATCCACATACCCTCACTGTCTTAATTTTATGCTTTTATTCCTTCCAAGTCTTTGTCCAGGTGGCTCAACATGGATTCGTGCAGAAGTGGACCTAAGGACATCCCTCCCTCCCATTAACTGGACCCCTGAAGTTTTGCTACCTGAAGGATGCCCCTACCTCACTCCTTCAGGGCCATATATACAGAGTGCTAATGCAGCAGCCATCCACTTCTGCCTGGTGCCAGCTCACTGTGCACATCCGTCCATAAACCTGGTCTATGCTTTCCCTCTTCTGTAAACAGATCACAGGGAATTCCCATGAGCACATAGTGTGAGTGTAGGAAGAGGCAGGAGGAGTGGGTGCCATGGGCATCTAGCCACCTGCTGGGGCTTTCACCTGTGCCTTCCATTCCTGCTTGATCTGATGCCATACACACATTTTTAATAGACGACGGATGCTGCTGTGCACGCCCAATGTCATGGTTTGATAGCTGAGACAGCACCCAGTATGTGACGTGCAGTTAAGCTCACAGCGCCCTTGGTATCCAATACTCAAGTATTGAGATTCCACTGGAATCCAGTAATAAGCAAGGGATGCTTTCCAAATGGAGGATACGTATTTGCAGAAGGAGGCATACCTTTGCTCCAAAACCCTGAGGTTCTGCACTGTCAGAACCTCAAACACTGTCAGAAACTTTCAATGTCGTTGGGTCTGTTGGGTGATGTGGCCCAAGCTTCATAGCAGCTGTATTTCCAGCATGAACTTTCATCAGAGCCCTCTCTTGCTCTAGGATCCACTCAAAACTGGCAACTTCTGGGTTCCCTCACAAGTGAGTAGGAGTAGTGTATCAAAATGTGCTACATTTTCCCCCCAAAATCTACGGGACCTATCTCTTTGGATTAAGGCAGCTACACAAGGTGTAGCAAATTTTTCTCAGTTTAGAAGGAATATTGGGACATGCCCCAGACCTACAGGCCCTTAGGATTTACACCAAAGTGATGGAGGGCTGGGTGGTTTATCTCCCACCCTCTGGCATAAATATGCCTTATTCCTGAATCATCAAGGATGCTTGCTACTTCTTGTTCACTATGTCTGATGAAATAACACAAATTTATCAATAAAGTGGACCAGTGTGGTGTTCTGCAGAAAATCAGATGATCAAGGTCCCTCTGGACTATATTGTAAGAGAGAGCAGAAGAGTTGACCAAGCCATGAGGCCAGAAGTGAAGGGGTACTCTTGTTCCTGAATATGAATGTCAATGCTTCTGATGATTTCTGCCAGTGAATATGGAAAAATGAATTGTTAGGTCCACAGCTGCACATCCAGGGTCTGTAAGAAACCACCTCCAGAACTGCAGCTGAATTTGTCATGGCCACTTACATTTGTCATAACCTGTTGTCATTCTCCAGTCCTTTCTCTTTTGCTGTGAGTGAACAGGTGCAGTAAATGGAGGTGTGGTAGTGACCTGACCCCTCTGTCTCTCAAGCTTTGGTGTTGGCACTCATCTCAGAAATTCCTCCAGGGGGCATTATTGCTCCTGATTTACTGTCTCGGTGGTGATGGTATCAGAATGGTATCAGAAGCACCATTTGACCTTACGTTCCATAATAGCCCTCACTCTCAGATCAGGGGACCTACGTGGGGGCTTTTCCAGTTACCTATTGCTATTACACATTCTGGGATGACATAAACAACAACAAGATGAGTCTGCGGTCCCACTAGGCTCACTGGCGGAAGGACTTGAGCCAAAAGTCCACCTATGCCCCACCCTGGTTCCCGATGGGGATTAGCATCCATCCAGAGCCGTCATTCAAATAATCCCCACAAGGTCTGACCATTTCCCTTTAACCATCGTCCAGCTCTCCAGATAAATGGCGCCCAGTCTCTCTGGTGTGGGGGAAGATTTTCTGTCTACACTCGTGGTTGCGCTACAGGGTCCTTCTCAAACAGACCCAGCCTCCTCCCTCGTCCATGGGGTTCCAGGGCTGTGAACCGGCTCCATCTGGGAAGCAGATAGGAAGTCAACAATCCCCCCGTGGTGACTTAAGTCATATTTCTTCCCATCAGAACTGGAAATTTCCCCCTCTATCAAGCAGCACATTAGTAGGTTTCCCATCGTCTCACTTTTTGGGACCCCCTGGTCATTGAGCTTCGCCACAGACCCCTGCCTGTCAAAACTCTGATGGTCTTTTGCTCTGTGGGTTGTTTTAGTGAATGGGGACACTTGGCCTCTGCATGCTCAGTGTCACCCTTGGCCAGCCCACGATCCTCTTTTCCAGCATTTTCCATCAGCATCTTCTGTCTCAGAGGTGAGCCACCACAGAGCTCTCGATGTCCCCTCCTCTGTGGATTTCTTAATGCCTTCCCAGGGGATATGATAAGGAGGAGACTGAGGAGCCTGCACAAAACAGACTCATTCCCGCTTTCCCATGTGCCCCAAATTGGGACTCTATTTCTCTCCAACATGCCAGAGAAGGTCTAGCACTGACACCAGATGTTAACTCACTGCCCAGCAGACTAATAATGATGTTGCCTGATGCTTGAGCCAACACCTTAAAGCCTACATCCCATGAGAAAGAATCGGCCCCATCAAGCCTTCCTCTTGGTC